AAATCATGAGGTTGTAATCAAACTGTTGTCTTTTGAGATCCCTAAAAATGGTCAACGTGATGTCTCGAAATAGGGGTGCCCCAAGGCCTATTTATTTCATTGCAACATGTAACGTTTGGGGCACTCCTATTTATTTCAACACACCGGTGGAATCTTGGCAGCAATGGGATCCATCAATGGGAACATCGTGGGAATATTATGGCTGGTTGGTGGTGCAATAACCATCTTGAAAAATGATGGAGTTCGTCAATGGGAAGGATGACATCCCATATATGGAAAAATAAAACATGTTCCAAACCACCAAGCAGATGGGAATATAACGGAAGTATCACTACATGACCTGCCTTTTGCCATTTTTTTGGATGATCGTTGTCAGTGTCATGAGCTGAGGCCCCACCTTTCATTCACCTCATACCCGCAGGATTCCATTTGACAGGTTGTTTAATATAGATTCCCCTATTGGATTATTGTAATCACCAGATAAAAAGGGTAGCATAATCCCCAGTCATCAACCACCAAGGTTTTGACTGCTAAGGTACTTTCATCTGCGGCCTGGGCAGCGTTGTCCTTTTTCTCCAGCTCTTCGCGTTTGATTCGATCCAACTCTTCCTGCCCGATGGTGATCTCAGCCCCGTTTGATTTAACTCCCCTAAATGGTCAAACATGTGTAAACCCCCTAATGATACACCATGATTTCTGGAAAGTGTTTCATATTGGGGGGAAGGGATAAAGTAATATACTGTCTTGTAATTGAACATAACCATGGAAACATGGAAAACGGGGCCGATTCATAGATGATTCCCCCATATTTACCTTGAAAAAACATGATGATTTTCCATAGCCATGTGAAATGACCAGAGAGGTACACTCAATAGCTGGCTGGATCTTTCTTCCCCCCATGGCATTTTTATTGGTTTTGGCTCATCCCCACATGTTTTCAGTGGTTAACAGTTCTGACCTCGTGGTGCCGTGCCCGTCCTGGTGCTGCCGCTTGGTCTCGGCCTCCTTCTTGTCTGCACGCTGCTGTTTGGCGATGCGTTGCCAGCTGTCCAGGAGGAATTTCCTTGTCGAATGCGGTAGCATCGGTAGCACAAAAAAAATCTATGGGGTTTATCATCATTTTCCCTATGAACATCACAATGTTGAGGCATATTTTCAGACACGCCCTGTTGTGGGGAGAAGCGGCCAAGAAAACCTCAGAGATTGGTGATGGAAAGAATAGAATTTGTTGTGGAAAAACGTCACCTTTTTTTCTTTTAGTACCATGATGACCCCGGGATTTTCCGTCATTTTCCATGGTTTACAGGTTGAACGCGCAAAGTTTAAAGTCCCATGAGGCAACACGGATATGAAACGAAAGTCCATTGCACAACCTCTATTTTCAAACCCTTGAACCCTTTGGAAGCCAAACAATCGCGCAGAACATGGGGGCATGGCGTACTTCTTTGGTCGATCTAAGGTTCGCAACAAGAATTTGTATCATCAAGGTGTGAACCCCTTGGAAATGGGAAGGTATAAAACCCAACCACCAACAATCAATGATGAGGCAATCGATAATGACTATATAATGACTATACTATACCCTTACTCAACCAAGTATAATGTAGTGCCTCTACTGTGTGTGGGGCTGCAATCCCAATCCCCGGACAAAGCCGCAACCATAGGTAGCTAAGCCCTGTGAATAGATTTGTTGGGCATTCTTGGTGCCGGAGCTTGGTCCAAGCTTCTTGTTGTCATCCACAATCTTCTGGAACATCCTGCGGCTGGGGACATCTGGCTTTTCAAAAAACAGGGGAGCTGTTTTGGGCATCTCGGTACTTGGGCGCCTGGGGGGTTTGTTATATGGGTTTGTCAGAAAATACCAAATGTAGGTACAGTAAATCCACCACAAAGCCAACAGTAAACCTAGTTACTTGAACTAACTCAACAATGATGGTGCACCTCTTTGAAATTGAGTTTTCCTATTTCCAGGTGGACACCAATGGTAACCAACAACTGTCTGAAGGTGGCAGAGGATCAAAAGGTGAACAATTACATGGCGAGCTGATAGGGATCCCCCATGATATTGCTATATTTCCCATGATATTGGTGAATATGATCCACAAACTAATTATCCATCAACCACGGTCTAGCAGCCGCTGCTCCATTGAATTCTTCAATAATTCTATCCAAATTTCTCTTGTTCCTTCCAGTTTCTAACTAAAAATGATTTCAACTGGAAGGTTCAACTCTTATGATATCCAGTTATTATAATGGGTTCATCGCGAAAAATCTACCAAACAATCGTCCCAAGCAGGGTAATGAACGCTGCTCTATTGAATTATTCAATCATTACCCTCTGGTAAACTAACAGTTTGCTATTTCTTTTACCTTTTGAAGATGGTGATTTTTCAGTTCGCAAACTCTTAGTTTACGGGGTATATCCATATAAGTGGGGTTGTTTTTTCCTAGAGTTATTTCTACCGTTATCCCTATGGTGTATTATCGCCATGATAACCTGATAGTATAGCTCCCCATCAACTATAATATCAACTATCAGGTTTATATCCCATATATTTGAAAAATTTGATAGGTTATTAAGCCTGATATTAAAATAACCTATCAACTATGCAATTTTAATGGTTCACTTGAACTCCACCCCCCCGAAGGTTGCGGTCTTCTGGGCAATCTGCAGCGCCGCCCGTTCGCCGGTCTCTTGCTCCAGGCGACGTAGCGCAGCCAGCTCTGCCTGGTGAAACCATGGAAAACATAGGAATTTTGGAGGATGAAGCCGTGGAAAAGGGTGGGTTCAATCTGAATTCAAACTGTGACACGGGTGATTCAGACTAATTAGGACAAGTTGAGTAGGGTTCAACCAATGAAGATGAAGACTTCTTACCCAATGAAGATGAAGTGGAATCAGTGAGCATGGAGAGTTGATTCATTGATCCAACCATGTGCCAACAGAGCCTGCAAGGAAGATGGGGGGCATCCACCCAAAACCAAGGGCTAAGCCGTGAACATAGGGGGAAATTCCAAAATGGAAAAAACGTTTCTTTTAGCGTGAAAACAGAGGTTTCACCAACACAAATTGGGAGTTAAGACCTTCAAAAAGGCGCATTGCAACATAAGAACCATTTCTAAAACAAATCATGTTGCAATGCACCTGTTTGCCCCCAAATCATTCGCCATCTTTGGCTATGGGGTTTCTTTGGCAAGGTCATTAACCCTTGAACCCAGTCAGGCCCTTTGCCTCGTGCTTCTTTTTGGCCTCTTCGTCTTTTCTTAAATGCAGCCTGCTCTGCAACGCACCAGCGAGGGACGATTCAAAGGTACCCAGTAGATTCCTTGATGAACATTTTTGCCTCGCCAGAAAACTTGGACATTTGCCTGCCAAATTCGCTTCAAACGTGGTGGTTCAATTTTAATTTTACTTGAAAAAATGGCTGACCCAAAGTGGCATGAAACCAAACTTTCCAGCCCTCTTTTCCAACAGGTTTGCCGAGCAACGCAGCTTTGTGCTCGGTAATCCAAACATCCAAACAGAACTTCACGTCATCTTGGCAGTGACTCCTGTGAGGCCCAGCTGCTGACAGGACTTTCACCCCTCACCAGCAAAGAAGTGCCAACAAGGACATCAAAGAAATCATGTAAGTCTTAATGCGGTTCCCCACCTCTGTTGCTTAAAGTTATCTACATCTGACACCTGCCTCTCTTTGGCATTATACTGGCCAACATACACTCCCATTTATGGCAACATATCAGTAGTGCCGCACAAGGCAGTGGCGGAGGTTTCAAAAATCCGCCCGCACCGAAGGTGCTGGGGCGTGATCGTCCGGATGGCACTCGTAAAAGGTTACAGGTTTACTTGGGGGGGGGGGGGCATTTTTCGGCCAAAACCTCCTGTTTTTGATAGGTCGTGACGCTCGCCTTCAAAAAACACTGTAAAAAACAGTACGGAAGACACCTGTTCGTGAACGCGCCCGTCCAAAATCGGCAAGCGAAAAGTGAAAAAACACCGTGTTTTTCAACTTTTTGACTTCAATTTTTTGGTTTGCAACATCTTTTTTTGCGGTTCCGCAGGTGGCCTGGCCCGGAGGCGGGTTTTTGAGTTTTTGGACCCGTTTTCGGACTGATTTTCGTCGTTTTGTGATAGCAGAAACACTGGTTTTTACAGTGTTTTTCTGTTTTCTGCATGCTTGACGGCTAGCTTCAAAACTTCCAAAAACCTCGTAAATTATGCTGTTTTATGTTACGGTGTGAATGAAAACATCGTAAATACCAGTGTTTTTTGACGTTGGTTTAAAAAACACTGTAAATTACAGTGTTTTTGGCCACCTGACCCTCAAAAACCATGGTATTTGCAGTGGTTTCTGCTTCTCACCGCGCAAAAACACTGTAAATAACAGCAATTTCGCCGTTTTTTTCATGTTTTTCGTTATTTTTTGAACTGCGTTGGTCCGCTATACATGGCTATCAAATTCTTCGCGTTTTTTTCCCGACAATCAGTACTTTCGGATGTTTTTGGTCTCAATGGTCGACATCATTGGCAGTTATGATGCGGTGCGGGCGGTTGCCTTCGGGAAGCGACGTGAATAGGAAACCTATAGGGGAGGTTGGTTGTTGTGACTCAAGGATGGCAGAGCGAATCCACTGATGGACCGAAAGGTGGTTGGAGTTGTGTTTTTTGGAGTGGTTGCAATGGTTGCAGTGGTCACCCCACCCCAACTGCTGGATGTAGTGTGGTGTAGTGCGAGTGTAGTTGAAGTTGTAGTGTAGTGACGTTGTAGTTGTAAGATGTAGTTGTCATGTAGTGTAATTAGTGTAGTTGCAGTTGCAGTTGCAATTGCAGTTGTGGCGCGGTGTAGTTAGTGCAATTATATAATTGAATTAGTGTAGCGTATTGTAGTGTACTGTAGTGTTGTGTGCTGTAGCGCGGTATAGTATAGTGTAGTCTAGTGTATTGTAGTGTAAAGAAGTGTAGTTGTAGTTTTAGTGTAGTGTCGTGCAATGTAGTGGTAGTTGTCATTGTAGTTGCAGTTGTAGTTGTAGTGTGGCGTAATCTAACTAGTGTAGTGGAGCGTTGTGTAATGTAGTGTAGTTGTAGTTTTATTTGTATCTGTAGTGTGCTGCAGCTTAATTAGTGTAGTGTAATGCAGTGTACTGTAGTGTAGCTGTAATTGTAGTTGTGGCTGTGGCGGTGGTAGTCGTAGTAGTCGTAGTAGTCGTAGTAGTCGTAGTAGTCGTAGTAGTCGTAGTAGTCGTAGCAGCCGTAGTAGTCGTAGTAGTCGTAGTAGTCGTAGTAGTCGTAGTAGTAGTAGTTGTTGTTGCTGCTGTTGTCGTTGTCGTTGTCGTTGTCGTTGTTGTTGTTGTTGGTGGTGGTGGTGGTGTTGGTTGTGGTTGGTTGTGGTTGGTGGTTGTTGGGCGTTGGTTGTTGGTTGTTGGTTGTTGTTGTTGTTGTGGTTGGTTGTTGTTGTTGTTGTTGTTCTTGTTGTTGGTTGTTGGTTGTTGGTTGTTGGTTGTTGGTTGGTTGTTGTTGTTGTTTGTGGTTGTTTGTGGTTGTTTGTGGTTGTTTGTGGTTGTTGTTGGTCGTTGTGGTTGTTGGTTGTTGGTTGTTGGTTGTTGGTTGTTAGTTGTTGGTTGTTGGTTGTTGGTTGTTGGTTGTTGGGCGTTGGTTGTTGGTTGTTGGGCGTTGGTTGTTGGTTGTTGGTTGTTGTTGGTTGTTGTTGTTGGTTGTTATTGTTGGTTGTTGGTGTTGTTGTTGTTGTTGGTTGTTGGTTGTTGGTTGTTGGTTGTTGGTTGTTGGTTGTTGATTGTTGGTTGGTTGTTGTTGTTGTTTTTGCTGTTGCTGTTGCTGTTGTTGTTGTTGTTGTTGTGGTTTAGTGTAGCGTAGTGTAGTGTAGTGTAAGTAGTTGTAATTAGTGTAGTGTAGTGTAAATAGTGTTGTGTAATGTAGCGTAATATATTTGTAGATGTAGTAGTAGTGTGATGTAGTGGTAGCTGTAGTTGCAGTTGTAGTTGTCTATCTATCTATCTGTCTTTCCGCAAGCTTGAAAACGAAGCTATTCTGCGAGACTTCCTCAACTTTTGAACTTGACAACATCAAAAACGAAGCAATTCTGCGAGACTTCCTTCAATAATGGAAAGTTGAGTGTAGAGCTGACCACCTCGTGCCGATGCATTTTGCGATTTTTCCAGTCCATGTCTCTGAAGTATTGCGCCTGCCACGAAAAAGTGATGCCAGGCCATACAAAGTGCTGCACCTGTCACACAAAATCATCTTCCCAAAACTGAAGATCTGATGCTCCAAAATGCAACCCCTCTCAGGAAATCTGCGCCCTGACCTCCTAACATCTCTGATGAACATGTCTCTTGTACTGCGCCTGCCTCGGAAAATGCATCTTTCCAGATCCGTTTCAAATGTCCCACGCCTGCCATCGTTCTTGGAAATGCCACAAAACCATGACGTTTTGCTCACTTTTGACAAGGTGCACAATCCCTTTTCGCCGGCCACGCGAAACTTCATCTGAACGTCCAAAAATGCTCCGTACCCGTCAGTTTTTTGTTCGAAATGTGCTTCGCGCCACAACGGCGTGCACTTTTTCGACATCTCAACTTCCAAAAGTGGTCCGGAGATGGTGTGTTTTGCAAATTTTGACTTGCAAATGTGCTTCGCGCCACAACGGCGTGCACTTTTTCGACATCTGAACCTCCAAAAGTGGCGCGAACATGTAGTGTTTTGTACATTTTGACTTCGAAATGCGCTTCGGGCCACAACAGCGTGCACTTTTTCGACATCGGTCCGACGTTGGTGTGTTTTGCCCATTTTGACTTGGAAATATTTGCGCCACAACGGCATGCACTTTTTCATCTCTCATCTGGCCAGATGGCTCCGCACCCGCTGCTTTAGCGAGCCTACTTTTCGACCCGCCGGAGCCACAAACCATTGGAAAAACACAGTGTTACCTCTTCGCGCACCTGCATCTTCTTTCTTCTGACCCTTTCTCTTCTCTGATCTTCTCTCTTCTTCTCTTCTCCTCTCTGACTCTTCCCATCTCTGCTTTTCCATCTGTCCATATTGTCGGAAGTTTGACCTCTAAACTTCCTTCGATTAGGATATTAGATTACTAAGGTTTCCCGGTTTCCCCAGATATTCATCAATTTCCGCTGATGAAATACCCAAATCTGATTCAATCCCCATTCTGGTGCCTAAACAAATCCATCCATCAGCAGTGTGTAGCCATATTTTCAGTGGTAGCCCCCCAAACCTACTCCCAAAAAGCATCCAATTAATTCATCCCAAGATACTCGGTTGTATCCCAGTCAAACCACCATAGATTGTGATCACCTGATCACCATTGTAAATGACAAACCAACTATCATTTCCCATCAACATTCCAGAAAAAACTGTCCCATTCACATCTCAGAGTCTCAAGTTAATCTGGAAATCTTAGCTTATATCAAGCTATATATATCCCTATTATACCCCCATTATATCTCCATTATATCCCCTTTACAATACCATGAGCCCCGTTAAATCCACGTTGACTTCCCGGTCTTGAACATCTTCTGCGCCAAGACTTCGGCTTCACGGAGGTCCTTCTCCTGGATCAGTTTGCTATGGAACATGGTCCGTTGATAGTTAAATATGGGAAACCAGATAATTAAAACATGGTATGTTTTAACATGGTATATAAAACTTACCAAATTATATCACTATGATCTTAAAAAACACATATACTTGGCAAAACAGCATGTTTTTTTAAGCGATTTACCTAGTAAGATTGTGATCTTCCTTTGTGATTAGGAATTATCCCATGAAGATCGGATAGATACAATACGGGGATAATATGCTTATTCCTCCTGGATGTTTGCCTGGGATTCTGACATTATAATTCCCCAACAGCGTAAGCTAATGGGGTCTTCAGCCCAGAAAAGCTCCGGTGTGCACTGGTGCAGGCGCCGGGTCCGGTTCAACGAGGTTCCGAAGAAGGTCTGGGCTTTGGTGCAGAGCCAGGCCAGGTTCAACAGGGTTCCAGAAAAGGTTACAGAGAAGGTCTGGGAGCCTTTGGTGGAGAGGCGGGTCAGGTTCAACAGGGTTCCGGAAAAGGTTCCAGAGAAGGTTCCAGGAAGCCTTGGTGCAAAGCCACGTCAGGTTCAACAGGGTTGCGGCGAAGGTTCCGGAGAAGGTTCCGGAGAAAGTCTGGGATGCTTCGGTGCAGCGCCAGGTCAAGTTCAACAGAACAGGGTTCCAGAGGAGGTTCCTGTGAAGGTGTGGTCTGGGAGGCTTTGGCGCAGAGCCAGCAGGTTCAACAGGGTTCCGGAGAAGGTTCCGGAGAAGGTCTGGCAGGCTTTGGTGCCAAGTTCAACAGGGTTCCGAAAAAAGTTCCGGAGAAGGTCTGGGAGGCTTTGGTGCAAAGCCAGGTCAGGTTCAACAGGGGTCCGGAGAAGGTTCCGGAGAAGGTCTGGCAGGCTTTGGTGCCAAGCCAGGTCAAGTTCAACAGGGTTCCGAAAAAAGTTCCGGAGAAGGTCTGTGAGGCTTTGGTGCAAAGCCAGGTCAGATTCAACAGGGGTCTGGGAGAGGCTTCGGTGCAAAGCCAGGTCAGGTTTAACAGGGTTCCGGAGAAGGTTCCGGAGATCTGGGAGGCTTTGGTCCACAGCCAGGTCAGGTTCAACAGGGTTCCGGAAAAGGTTCCGGAGAAGGTCTGGGTCTGGGAGGCTTTGGTGCAGAGCCAGGTCAGGTTCAACAGGGTTCCGGAGAAGGTTCCGGAGAAGGTTCTGGGAGGCTTTGGTGCAGAGCCAGGTCAGGTTCAACAGGGTTCCGGAGAAGGTTCCGGAGAAAGTCTGGGAGGCTTTGGTGCAGAGCCAGGTCATGTTCAACAAGATTTGCGGCCATTTACTTCAGGGAAACCCAGCTGAGGTGTTTCCAGTGCTTGGCTTAGCAGCACGCTTCAGAAAGATAGGAAAAAAACATTGCGGCTGTTGGGGATACCACCGAAGCTTATTTTTTTTAATGTTGGTACTTCATGGGATAGACCCATTCATGAAAGCTGTCATATTGATGCAGGATATAGAATGTACGGGGGCTGTGGTATCTATTGCTGTACCCTCATCAGCTATGAAGTGATGTGTTGTTATTATTCAATGGGAGAAACCAATTAATCAATTGAGAGCACCTCTTACAAAAAGTACGGGGCGAGGGATAAAAATACACGGAATTATTTTATGCTATTTCTTTAGTCGGAAAAGCGCATGAAAAGGGCCTGTCATGCTTTTTGGATTAATGGATGGGGGCTAAGGTTGTTGTCAAACTTATGATGTTCCACCGTCAATAATGTGACAAGCATATTGTTAAGTAGAATATAATGTTTTTTTGGTGATATTGTGCCACCATATGTTTCTCTGAAACGCCGCCCTGAGGATTACTTGTTCAAAGAGAAACGAATTGGCTTTTAACCTGCAGCGCATGGCAGAGTCCTCATGGTAGTTGGTGGCAAATTCGTTTCCAACTAGCTGGATAAAACATGATAAAACCATTTCCACATGCCACACATGCGGATTTAGCAACTATCAAATGGGGATGCACACACACACATATATCTATATATAGAGACATATATATATATATGATATTATATACATATATATATACACACATATTAACATCGGACATCTGCCTGATTTCGGTTTGTCTAAAGGCGGGGTACCCATCTTTTTGGGGATCTGAAGCCCCCCTTGGGGTTGATACGGTTGACCCATAGCCATGCCTCACATAACATCTAGGGTAAACTGGAGGAAGCTGACATATAGTCTACGTGGGGGAAACAAGGAATACAACTACAAAAAAATACAGCATGTATGGCATAGTCAACTCATTTTATGTACCTGCTGCATGGGCCATTCCACAATATTGTAGAAAGATAACGGATGGATTTCTACTGGATATCCATGAAAACACATGGACGTATGGAAGTGCATAGGGACCGTATCTGAGTTCACGAGCACGAGGATTGTATCCACGATCTGGTTGCATGGTTTCCACTAGGTGCACGATCTTGAGCTTGCCGCGATAACTGCAGCCCTTTTTGCGCTACTTTCTCCAGCATCAAGGCTTCCAATGCGGCTCGCCACTTGCGGCCCGTCTCCACGAGTACCGCCCCGATCGACTTGTCACTCAGAGCGTAGCTGTAGCGGCGAGGCATAGAAATGGTTTGGGGCATGGCATACAAAGCAAAGAATTTTTATGTGTATAGCATATCAATATTTCAGCAGCAAAACACAGTGATCCAACCTAGCATTGCAGGCCCGAAATTATGCAAACATTCCCCATTGGAATGCTTGCAGCGTGTATGGACATATTCTCAATTTTTGCCAATCTACCCCCATTTCTGGCTCACAACATTAAAAAAATCACCAATGGATAAATGGTCAATCTTAAATACTAACCGCAGCAGATATCCCAACGGCAGATTCAGTCACACACTCCTCAGCGCATTAAGCCTGCTTCTACCCTCTGGTAAACTAACATAGCTATGGAAAATCACCATTGTCGAAGGAAGTTTGGAAGTCAAACTTCCGACAATATGGAGAGATGAAAAAGCAGTCAGCAGGGAGAAGAGTCAGAAGAGAAAAGATCAGAAGAAAGAAGATGCAGGTGCGCGAAAAGGTAGGAAAGTCGCGAAACACTGTGTTTTTTCTGGTTTTGTGGCTCCGGAGGGTTGAAAAGTAAGCTCGCTAAAGCGGCGGGTGCGGAGACATCTGGGGAGATGAGAGATGAAAAGTTGCACGCCGTTGTGGCGCGAAGACCGTTTCGAAGTCAAAATGTTAAAAACACCAGGGGTTCGGACCACTTTTGGAAGTTGCGATGTCGAAAAAGTGCACGCCGTTGTGGCGCGAAGCACATTTTGAAGTCAAAATGTTAAAGACACCAGGGGTTCGGACCACTTTTGGAAGTTGAGATGTCGAAAAAGTGCACGCCGTTGTGGCGCGAAGCACATTTCGAAGTGAAAATGTACAAAACACTACATGTTCGCGCCACTTTTGGAGGTTCAGATGTCGAAAAAGTGCACGCCGTTGTGGCGCGAAGCACATTTCGAAGTCAAAATGTACAAAACACAACATGTTCGCGCCACTTTTGGAGGTTCAGATGTCGAAAAAGTGCACGCCGTTGTGGCGCGAAGCACATTTCGAAGTCAAAATGTTAAAAACACCAGGGGTTCGGACCACTTTTGGAGGTTGAGATGTCGAAAAAGTGCACGCCGTTGCGGCGTCAAAATGTACAAAACACTAGGGGTTCGGACCACTTTTGGAGGTTCAGATGTCGCTTCGCTTCAAGACACTACACTACAGAACATTACACTACACTCCAGTACACTACATTACACTACATTACACTCCAGTACACTCCACTACACTAAATTACACTACACCACACTACATTACACTGAATGACACTGCAACACAGATAGACAGGTAGACAGCTAGACAGATGAAAGGGAGAGATAGATAGACAGGTAGATAGATAGATAGATAGATAGATAGGTATTTAGATGAAAGAGAGAGAGAGAGAGGCCAGCTGGGTAGATGAGATAGATAGATAAATGGCTAGACAGATAGACAGACAGACAGATAGATAGACAGATAGATAGATAGATAGATAGATAGATAGACAGGTAGACAGATAGATAGATAGATAGATAGATGGATAGATAGATAGATAGACAGATAGATAGATAGATAGATAGATAGGTAATTAGATGAAAGAGAGAGAGAGAGATAGATAGATAGATAGATAGATAGATAGATAGATAGATGGATGGATAGATAGATAGATAGACAGACAGATAGATAGATAGATAGATAGATAGGTAATTAGATGAAAGAGAGAGAGAGATAGATAGATAGATAGACAGACAGATAGATAGATAGATCGGTAGATAGATAGATACATAGAAAATAGATAGGTAGGTAGGTAGATAGTCAGAGAAAGAGAGAGAAAGAGTGAGAGAGATCAAGCACCTTTCAATCCATCAGTGGCTTCGCTCTGCCATCCCTGATTGACAACAACCAACCTCTCCTATAGGTTTCCTATTTTTGAAACTTCCGCCACCGCCTTGTGCGGTACTAGTGGTATTATCAAAATCAACTATAAATGGCAATTTTGAATAGCAACATGTTAGTTTAGCAGAGGGTGTCCCTATTTGTGGCTAGGGTTTTACCCCACCATTGCGCTGTCCTGCTGCGCTTTTTGCCGGCTCTCCTCCATGGCTTGCTGTTGCTTCGCCAGCTTCTCCTGTCGCCATGGTGATATTGGAAGCCGAAGCCGTAGGGATGGGATATAGATATACAACTATACAAGGTGGTACCCCCCAGTTATAAGTTGGTTTATAATCCTCATTAAAACCCTAGTTAAAGAACTTAAAAACCAACTTAGCTAACTATGGGGAACCACCTTGTAGGGATTGCCTGTCCTATCCACACTGTCTATTTATCGGTTTAGGCTAAAATATTTGTGGAAGTATCCAGCAAGAAAAAGAATCTATAGCAGATCCTTTTGATTGCTCTGCTTGATTGAATATTTTGCCGGGGAAGGCTTTGCACATATGTATAAACAACAAACATGAATATCATGAATTAAAAACATCAGCAAACATGGGCATATATCTTGAGTCGCACATAAACAAACATGAAGAATTTAAAAGATTTTATGGGGAGGCCCCAGGATATGATCAAGGATTACATTTGGCAGAATCTCAATATCTATCTTAGGTTACTGGGCATCCAGCATCTGACTGGCAGTTTTAGGGAAGCCTAAGCACTACAGTATTCCGCATTTCTGGGAGTTTAAGTCATGTTGATGGGCAGTTCTAAGGGGTATTCCACCAACATCCAACTATGAAAATTGGAACGTGTTCGGTCATCAACCTCCATTACCCCTTAGGAGCTAACGAAATCTGATTTTGTTGGGGGTATCCATTTTCGGGGTTGCCCTCTCCATGATCAAGCAGCCTGAAATCCATAGTCAAACTGAAGAAACACCTGGTGGCTGCAAACACCAAGTGCAAATGCATTGCTCTAAGGGTACCTACCCAACAAGCAGGGCCTTATCTTTCAGGGTTGTTTATCCGTAGAAACCCTGGCTTTAGGGGTTGATGACATTCTCATTCCTAGATTTCCCTTGTTAACCAACCATTGGGGGCTTATTAAACCGCTATAGGTCTCCCCGTCTCCTTCTTGTTGTTCATCATCTCATCCTGGCGGCTGCGGACAAGGTGAACATGTACCCGCGCGATGATAGCCCACCTTCCAGTTGTAATATGCAAATAGCATCAAATGGAGGTTTCCTGAAATAGGGGCAACCCCATTTATAGAAACCCCCAAGTAAGCCCCAGTCCACCAGTCGCCTTCCATGCTCCAACCACCTCCTCGAACAGACCATTGCAGTACCTGGCGAGCTGTCGAGGAAATGTTGGAAAGCCAAGTGGTCACCAACCGAAAAAGAACATAATAAACAAGTGATCAAACTGATCAAAGACTTTGGCAAAGATCTCAAAATCATGAGCAAACTGAAAATTGTCAAGCTAAACAAACATGGTGCTGCTCGGTATATCATGGTATATCCAATGCAAGCGGTGTGAAATATCACCCCAGGTCATTCATGATATACCATCTGGTTATTTAACATAGCTATGGAAAATCACCATTTTAAATAGGTAAACCATCTATAGATGGGCCATTTTCCATGGCTATGTTAAATAACCATAGGGTATTTCCCTTTTAGTTTTTTCCCCCTGCGGGTCAGTACTTCGGGTCGCCATACCCATCTTTTTTGGCCGGGGCACTTGACCCACATTTGCTCAGCGATCCTCAGGCGCAGCATATGCCACGGGCAGTTCATCCAATGTTGCGCCCAATACCATCTGGTTATTTGACATAGCCATGGAAACTCCCTTATAAATGGAGGTTTTAATGGGAAAATCATCTATAAATGGGCCATTTTCCATGGCAATGTTAAATAACCAGATGGTATCTTAAAACGTCATGTCTAACAACCAACACCCAACTGAACATTTCAGATATAGCAACCTTCAAACAGTTTAGAAAGGTAGTCTAGCAATATTTCAGTAGCACGTTTCATCCACGTCCTTTGTGGGGTTGCTTTATAACATCCGATTTCTTTCATTAAATCACCATGTTTGATACTGTTGCTGGTAAAAAACCACCATATCGCATGAAATATCAACCTGAAATATCCTAAGTATAACATCCACATTTTCAATGGGGTAGCTTTAACCCACATAGTCTATCATCATTTTCTGTTCATTGTCACTATTGAAACGGCAAGTTTTGCTGGTTAACATCTGCAATTTTTGGTTGCCTAAATCCCAATCCTTGTGCCATCCCAAGTTTCGGGATGGTTGAATCCACCATAGTCATCAGCTTCCCGTGCTTCAAATGGCATTTTTTGTTGGATTAACACTCTCATTTTGTGTTAATCAATTTTTCTTGGTCAAAATCCCAATGATGATAGATCCCAATTAATCATCGCTGTTGGTTAAATCCCAATTTGGCAACTTATCTCCCACTCCATCCATGTCTTGGCTCTGCTTAGCGGTGTTGAAGGCCCGGTCGTGTTCCGCCTGCTTGAAGCGATGCATTTCCTGGCGCGGCGTTTGGCGGCGCGGACACGGGTGATTTCATTGGGGGTATGATGTGGATATAGCGAGGAGATAGTGAGGAGATTATGGGATACATGACTGGTTGGTGGTTTTTCGCCACCCCTCTGAAAAATCATGGAGTTCGTCAGTTGGGATGATTAAATTCCCAAGATATGGAAAAATAACAAATGTTCCAAGCCACCAACCAGATGAGAGAGAGAGATATATATACATCATGACCATTGGGTTTTGAGGATTGAAAAAGGGATTCAACCAATGAACCATGGCCATCTAATGGATGTTAATCGCTTTTTAGATGGTTTTGACCAACGACGCTAAAGGATTCAAAACTAACCATGATACTGAGATTTCCTGGGGAATGGGATAGATTTAGCCAACATGATATGGCGGTTTCTTGAGTGGCGGACCCCAAAATGTGACATGCACCATGAGATTTCTGATGCATAGAGGTGTCTTGGCGGATCTTGAAATCTTCCTGTGATGAATCGGATTTGTGCTTTCCTGCAGTGCGGGGGGAGATGTGATCTGCCCAGGTTTCAACTGCAATCAAGCTAAGCAACCAGCATGGCCTTCATGGACCCCCCAGGATGGGATTTAACCAGCATGTAAAACCCCGAAAAAATCGCATTCTTATCATCATTGATGACGAGAATCTGAAGAAACAACCGAACATCTCCTGATTTTTTGTTGGAAAATGATAGTGGCCCTGAACTTAAACATTCCAGGTACGTGCCAAGAAATTGTTGGGTGATCGCCTTCCCAACCAGAGTTACCCACAGAGGAAACGCGCTATGAAACGACAAGAAACAATCATAACTCACAGCTATCTACATCGTTTCATGGAATTTCAGTCTGAATTTTCCAAGTGTTCAATGACTTATCCATATTTCCAGTGGTGAACCGTTGAGCTCCAACTTTTGATGAGCCACGGCCGAATGTGACCTGTTCCATCTTGAGTTTGGCAGCCTCTTGTGCCTTCTGCGCTCTTTCCTCCTGGAGAAGGTCACTCTAAACCACCTTTCTGATGGTAAACGACCCTTTTAATTCGTGCTAAACACCATTAAGCTAATAACCAACGAACAAAACGAGAACATCTTAGTAGGATCGTATCCTTATAAGTCTCTATTCCCCACCTGGAGTTGTTTTCCCCTGAAAACTCATCAGCCGCTTGATCTTTTTTTAAAGCTGTGCTCAGGGTCTCGTGCCTTGAAGATGTCGCGCCAAAGCTCCCAAACTCCATCCAAAAGTTCTTGACAGTACTGTTTGTACATCCTGCCACCGCTTTGTCAAAGTAGGGCCATAGGGGTACCAAGGGTCCCCCGTCACATTGGTCATGAAAAAGCTTAAGCAATCCAATCAGTTTGATACAGGCCCATTTAACCCCCTAAAAACTGAGGGGATAACAAGCCTCAAAGTTGAACATCTGTGGCATGGTTGGGGGAAGGGAACTCCAAATTCGGGAATGGCCTAAACATTGCCAATCTTAGATACCCTGCAAAAAATGTCAATTTCTTTGCTGGTTAGTGGATATTCCCATTGATGCCACAAGACTAAAGGATTAAAGTGCCCATCTAGGATTGACCTAGTAAATGGCAAATGCTTCAATCCAAGTGCCCTAAGATATATCCCAGCACTCGGGGCCCCGGTTGTCGCGTTGGGGGCGGGCAAGCACTCTGGGAGGGCGGCGGTCAGGTAAACCACCTTGGAACCTCCCAAACTCTATGTATATATATAGTTATATATATATATGGTTTTGTGTATATATATATATGGTTATATATATATATGTAAATTTGCATAACTCTATTTATATCTTTGCCGGGTTTTACACCCTAATCTCGCAAAGCTCGAAATTCGACTCCCAAAGTTTTTGCAACTAAAGATCCCAACCCATCCCACCGGCCTTCCATCGTTTTTTGCCGATTACACCACCATTCAACTCCTAACTCTTGTTGGTTAAGCCATGTTGAGCCGCAGTTTTTGCTGGACGCTCTATCATTTGGCGATAGAATGCCCATTTCCCAACAATCTTACTTTAAAATACTTTAAATATCTTAAACCCTTTCGTTTTCTTTTTGCAGCCCCAAGATTGCAGAAATGTTGATCTGTATTTCCATTCCATTGTGGGCTAACCAACTCTTGCTGCCAACATCACCCTTACGCTTGGCCTAAGCAAAATCCAGGATACAACAGCACATTTCAACTTCTAACAGTTATAAGTTGTAACATCGAAACAGCATCTTTTTTCACCTGAAATTGTTTGGGGGAATTCAATCGTGCGCATGTGGTAAGACTCGTGGGAAAAACGCATGTCATCAGCCGAGGCGCTGATCAGCGATTTGTGCCTTAGAGGCTTCGCCCTTGAGGAGCCTTGGGCGATGGCCCAGGCCGGGTCAGAATTGATCAGTAGCCACGGAAAGCCATGGCCCATAGAAATAGATGGAAAACCTATTAAAAATGGGAAAATGGTGGATCTTTCCATGGCGAACTGTTAAATAACCAGATGGTAGTAGGCTTGGAATAGTTGGACTCAATTGCTTGTGGCATTGGATGAGTGACTCATTAGTATTCCTGTGAAACTGTGTGGTGTGGCGTTCCTGATCCCAGCGAAATGGACGATAAAGGCCACTTCTCCCAATCCCCCAGGGGAGACATCAGGTATTCTCACACTACGGCCCAACAATTTACCATCATAGAAACTACATCTTCATGAACTTCCCTTATTGACTACCTGTCAGCTTCATCAATTTAGAGATGTCATTCCAGCACTATGAAATATCACCGCCATTTCCCATATTATCAGAATTCCTCAGCTCACTGATCATGTCATCTGCGACGCTGTTGGGCCGTTCGGCCTGAAATGACCATGGTTTGTTGAGTGTAGGTAGCGCCCCAACCCCGCGTGGGTGGAACTGGCATGAATTTCCTGACCAACAAACCGACATCACATTGCAACCAAGATATTTCCATTTTACCTGACCCTCTAAAATCATCATGAAATAATTTCATCAACAAACAGATGCCATGTTGTTAGATGTTGTTCGTCCTGGATCCCATTCTATTCCCATTTTAGCCATGAACATATCACCGCCCATCATCCAGGTTTGAGTCGTTGCGACGAGAGGCTCCTCCTTCCGCATCCGTTCGATCTCCGCCTTAGCCTCCGCCTTCTTCCGCTCAGCGGAGGATTGGCGGTAGGCATGTTCCCAGGCCTAGTTGGTGCCGAGAGGGGTACCAGTCATTTGGGCCACTGGCTTAAGAAAATAAACCACCATCATTCTGATTCCCCTTGTTGAGATGGCGGATACATGGTTTTATCGACTTTGAGGATTCTTCTTGCTTAATTCCGGTATCTTTTCGGGTTGATCAATGTGAGACAGAACTCATGAAAAACATGGGGGTGGCGAGTTTTGGATGCAAGATCTGGGGCATGTAGGGGGTAGGATGGATCTGTTTGGGACGGTAAAACCTTCATCTTTTCACCCCATTCAACTGGTAGATAAACCCAACAAAATTCCCTGCAACAGACAGAGACATCGGACATCTGAAACTGTGACCTCAACAAAACAAACGGAACATTGGAGGAGCAAACAACACGTTCCCTGAAAGTAGATGAAATCCATTCCCACGTGGCTGAGCCCATCTCTCCCTGGTAATTTTGATACGAGCCACCAAAAAAAAGGGGGAGAGTGTATATCCCCACCGAATGGGTAAAACACACGCCATACATATAAATGAAATCAACAAAAATGCCATATCCAGATCCGGACCGTCATGTTCCAAGCCCCAACTTGTTGGACATTTAGTTGTAGGGGTGTATCAGGACATATTCCATTGACTACCTAGTGCATCATCATGATTTATCATCCATCATTGACCATCATTAATCTACCATTCCGCATACAGTTAAAACCTGGTATGACCCATCACCAATGAACATTAACCTATTATCCATATATGATCCTAATATTATCCATATATCAACCTATTATCACCTACGAAATATTAATTGATCATTAATTGCACATCCCCACCACGAAACTTCGTTCTTGGACTCGATCTTCACGCGCCTCCCAAACGCCTCCAAGGAGGTTCTCCAGGTATTCGCGCTCCATCCTCAGATGGTTCAGAGGATGGTTCAGGCGGGAAGAAAGTGTTTGCCACGCGAGTCACTGGGGATTGCAACTCAAAACACAGCGGGGGAATTCGGAATTTGGGAATGGATCACAACACATGAAATATCACGTATTTTTCTTGGAGGGGAGCGGGGGTGAACATCCATCAATCCCAACGATTGGGGTATGAAACCAGGCTACGCAAGATATAGCTCCGGGTTCCAACGAAAATCAGATACGGTTACAAGCACAATGTGGTAAACCCAATAGTAAACCATCCCTAAAATCACCATGCTTATGTGTGGCATAAACCGTCCCCAGTCATGGTAGCTTTATGCCAGCCAGGGTTTCCCACATGCAACTGGTTTGGTGAACCATCCCAGCATCAGAGCATGTCTGCGATCGACCTTCCAATGGTTGAGCCTGGGCCTCCTACCCCAAGAAAATCGCTTGTGAGTGTCTTCCAGGTGTCACTGAAACCATAATGTTTAGTGGGTTTAAATTGGCATAAGTCAAAATGGGGCTCAAAACATGGATGGTTGAAACTCAAAACATGACCAAATAAAACATGACCAAACATCTTTTGACCAGCCAGCCAATAGCCAAACATATTCCCAAACGCCAAAACAACACTTGAACAACGATCACGGAAAAATGTTGATGAACTTTGATGAAGTTAATATCCCATCCGAAAAATCTAAAAAACACACCGAAAAACCAGCCCTTTTCAAACAGTATAAACAGTCAACCCCATCAGTCGACGACTTCAGGAGCTGTCGGCGCCATGTTCCCCGGGTTCCCCGGCTGTTCAGCGATGTCACGGGCTTTCTTCTGATTCTTTTCGGTTTCCGCCTCTTTGATCTTGGCCTTTTCGGCCTGAGATGGGTGCTGGGTGCTGGTTGGCTTGTGGCCCTTGTGGCCTCAATTTCTTCAAAGGACATGCGTTAGAGTCACAAACACAGCTTGCCCAAGAAATGGATCAAAATACTTTGATGGGTTTTGAGGGACACCATGAATCAAGTTACGCAACATGCTTCTGGAAAACATTGCCGTGCATTGTGCTGGACATTTTCCCTCATTTCCTATTGCCACGGATCGGTTATTCCCAGGTGGGAGATTGCTGGGCATTAGGGGAAGCAAAGCCATGATCCTCAACATGTCATCGGCGAAAGTCATGTGGGGGTTTTCGGGTTTCCATAAATGGGGATAACCCAAAATGGATGATTTATAACGGAAAATCCCAATCTAAAATGGATGATTTAGGGGTACCCCTACTTATGGAAACCCCCATGATATATCCCAAGTCATTGTGGTGAAAGCTTTATCTTTGCCGCTACGCCCGACCGTTTGAGTCCCAAGACTTGCTGCTTCATTTCCTACAGTAGTTTCTCTGATATTCTCATTGGATCTCCATTAAATACCATGAAAAGCCCATGAAATCCAATTGAATCCCCATGAAATAACAATGAACACCCCTGCTTTCAATGCTTAACGCTCACCATTATTTTTAGCGTTGCAGCGGTCGGTTCACCTCGAACTTTTCCTTCTGCTCCGCTTTGCGCTTTTGCTCCTCTTGGGCCATCTTCTTCTTCCTTGGCGTTCCGGCAATATGTCCGGGTTGTCACGGCAGTTTCTTCGTACCATACTAGCTGCTACTCCCATTGCTGATTCGCATCAAACTTGTCATCCCTACGGTTTTGTTCACACTGTTTTAAGCCACTGGGTCATCCTGTTGGTACCCTTTAAACTTACCTAGTCTTACCTGCATTGTCAGCGCCAAAGAAATCCTCAAGCATTGCCCTTATGAAACCAGGTGATCTCGGTGTTCTCATTTGTGCAGCTACACGATACGCCCCCATGTTGCGTCAAATCACCGGCCTTTCAGCACACCCTCAGAAACACTTGTCGTCTTGGATCATGATCCCAAACCACGGTTGAAAATACACACTGTTTGAACCCACCAGCCGGTTTGCTTTGGGCCATGTTCAGCTACCTTGCACCAAGACTTTACCAACCTGCGGCCGTTGTTGAACATCTTGAGCTTGAAATTATTCATTGGATGGTGCAATGCCAAAAAATTCTGTGCCCAAAAACCAAATCGGTGAGCTATATCCCATGAGTGCACCCCATGGTCCCAATAAATTCCCATCACATCCCCATTAAACCGCTAAATGTATTCCCATATCCCCATAGAACCCTTGGTCTCCTAGTAACCCTTATCCATTTTGCCAATTCATATTCCGTGAGCATTCCGTTCATAGTCCATAATATCGAAAATGGGATAAGCCATAATGCAGTAAATCCAACAATGAACCGTTCCCCAATCACCAAAAAGAGTTGTATCAAGTATCCCCAAATTTTAAGTTTATTGTTGCAGGGTTGCTCCCAACACCCCAGATACAAACGGGGAAAACTGGGTAGATAAAGCGGTAAAATGCCTAGTTTTCCCCCTTCTGGCCATCATTTACCTATGATGGATGGGAGCAATTTAAATCATTTACCTTATTACTTATTACAACTTACCTATTTATTGTTGTTGGTTTAATAGGTATTCCCGTTATATTCCTTATCAACCCGCCACTTTCTCAACGTGAAACCCACTTCTCCACGTCTCACGCGGCCCTGGCACTCCAGCTCATGTTCTTCAGCTTGGCGTTTCGCCGCCGCCTCCTGGTCTTTCTTGGCCTCGCGGTGGTGTGTTGATCCCCGGCTAATTTGGCTCAACTTTTAATGGGTAAATTAGGGTAAATCTCTATAAAACCTATCAAACAGGATGGCAACAGAAGGGCATACCGGCATTTTTCAAGATGGGCAGATAGCTCAACAACATGGGAATATAAGCAATGTAATCCATGAGCCTCAAGAGGTGAATGATTGAGGACCAAGAAATCACATTGATGAGATGTTCATCTCAGTTACCAGCTGGCTGAGTCCCAACTTCTATGGGATAACCCAAGCTGAAGGACTGAAAAGAATTGCCTGATTCTGGGAAGAATTTGTGGGAAACTGCGGCTTGGTCTTGTGACCTTTAGCTGTTTTAGTGGGTAAATCACGGAAGTAATTTGCCGCCAGCTGCCCGCAACTTGAGATGCACCAACTTCGGAGTTCGGCGGGACTGGGATGCTATTCTCCTGTAGACCTTTCTGATGCCCCGGAGAAAAGATATCATGCTTAGTTGGTGAATATAAATCCACGTTGATATCTGGCTATGGGTCAAAACCCATGGACGTTGATCAGCCCTCAATAGCTGGCATCTTGTCGCCTGTTTCAACTCGGCCTCGTGTTCCCGGGCCTGTCGCTGGGGTTCAGGCAAGATCACGGTTGATGCTCCAAAAATGGTTCTGGAAGATGATACCTTTGTAGGTCATGGAAATCTTTGGGAATTTTTTGGGTGCCCAAAAATGGCTGCAACTAAAACCGACTGAACCTATGATTCCTAGACTTTGACATTTTAATCCAGCCCTGCATGGGCAGTGCCCAAAACACCCGGTGGTTAAATTTCTGGGTTTATGCGAAACAACATTTTTCGCCACGCCAACTAGACATGTTCAAGCTCAATCCCATTTGGTGGTACCAGGTGGTGCCCAACTTCCAGCCACAGGAGCAACTTTCTCCACGTGCAATGGCCTTCTTCTTCTGTTCCTCTTCTGCACGCGAGGCGTCCGCACGCCGTTCCTCTTCGAGTCGCTTCTTCTCTCGCCTTGGCGTGCGGAGAGTGGGGATGAACT